TGCAGCCCTGAACTCCTAGGTTCAAGCAATTCTCCCACCTCAGCCTCCCTAAGTAGCTGGGACTGCAGATGCAAACCACCATGCCCAACTAATTAAAAAAAAAAAAAAAAATGGGGCCGGGCATGGGAGCTCACACCTGTACTCTCAGCACTTTGGGAGGCCAAGGCAGGCGGATCACCTGAGGTCAGGAGTTTGAGATCAGCCTGGCCAACATGGTGAAACCCTGTCTCTACTAAAAATATAAAAATTAGCTGGGCATGGTGGCACATGCCTGTAGTCCCAGCTACTCGGGAGGCTGAAACAGGAAAATCGCTTGAACCTGGGAGGCAGAGGTTGCAGTGAGCCAAGATCGCACCATTGCACTCCAGCCTGAGCAACAAAGCAAGACTCTGTCTCTAAATAAATAGATAAATAAATAAATAAATATTGTGTAGGGACAGGATCTCACTTTGTTGCCCAGGTTGGTCTCAAATTCCTGGCCTCAAGGCATCCTCCTTCCTTAGCCTCCCAAAGTGCCGAGATTACAGACATGAGTCATCATGCCAGCCAAGACTTGCAGTTTTAAGGCCAGGTGCTGGAATTTCAGGTTACCATTATTATCAGAAAGAATGACTTGTTGAGCTTAAGTTTAGTGGCAGTAAAGGGAGTGGACAAAGCTATATAAGAGCAATGTTTTGTATAGAAATGAAGTTGGTATTAATCTGAACTAGATCGCTAAAAATTAAGATGTTATTTTTAATTGCTAGTATGGTTTGAATGTGTCCCCTCCAAAATTCAGGTGTTGTCAATGTGGCAGTACTAAGAGATACGGTCTTTAAGAAGTGACTAGGCTATGAGGGGTTCTCCCTCATAAATGAGATTAGGTGTCCTTATAAATGAGATGGTGGGAGTTGCTTCTCTCATGTCCTTCTGCCTTCTGCCATATGAGAATGCAGCAAAAAGCCCTGATCAGATGCTGGTGCCTTGATCTTGGACTTTCCAGCCTCCAGAACTGTGAGAAAATAAATGTCTGTTCGGCCGGGCGCGGTGGCTCAAGCCTGTAATCCCAGCACTTTGGGAGGCCGAGACGGGCGGATCACGAGGTCAGGAGATCGAGACCATCAAACCCCGTCTCTACTAAAAAGTACAAAAAAACTAGCCGGGCAAGGTGGCGGGCGCCTGTGGTCCCAGCTACTTGGGAGGCTGAGGCAGGAGAATGGCGTGAACCCGGGAGGCGGAGCTTGTAGTGAGCTGAGATCTGGCCACTGCACTCCAGCCTGGGCGACAGAGCGAAACTCCGTCTCAAAAAAAAAAATAAATAAATAAATGTCTGTTCTATACAAATTACCCAGTCTGAAGTATTCTGTCACAGCAGCACTAAAAGACTACTAAAATCCCCTAAGTAGGACTTGCATCCCAAGGAAGTGTAAGACTTCTGCACTGAAAATTACAAAACATTGCTGAAGGAAATTAAAGACCTAAATAAATGGAAAGGTAGCCCATTTTTCATGGATCAGAAGATTTAATGAAGCACTGATACATACTGTGACATGCATAAACCTTGAAAATATGCTAAATGAAAGAAGCCAGACACAAAAGGCCACAGTGTATGATTCCACTTGTATGAATGCCAAGAATAAGCAAACCCATAGGAACAGAAAGTAGATTCATGGTTCCCGAAGGCTGGGTGGAGTGGGGAGTTACTATTAATGGGTATGAGGTTGCTGGTTTTCTTTTGTTTTGTTTTGTTTTTTGTTTTTTGTTTTGTTTTGCTTTTTGAGACAAGGTCTCACTCTGTTGCCCAGGCTGGAGTGCAGTGATCCAATCCAGCTCACTGCAGCCTTGAACTCCTGAGTTCAAGCAATTCTCCCACCTCAGCCTCCCTGAGTAGCTGAGACTGCAGGTGCACACCACCATGCCCAGCTAATTTAAAAAAAATGTAGGGACAGGATCTCATTTTGTTGCCCAGGTTGGTCTCAAATTCCTGGCCTCAAGTCATCCTCTTGCCTTGGCCTCCCAAAGTGCTGGGATTACAAGCATGAGTCATCATGCCCAGCCAAGACTTGCATTTTTAAGGCCCGGTGCTGGAATTTCAGGTTACTGTTATTATCAAAAAGAATGGCTTATTGAGCTTAAGTTTAGTGGCAGTAAGGGATAAAGAACAGTGAAACAAGGAGCGTATAGTATTAATCAACTACAGTCAACTGCCCTATTTGTAAATAGAAGTGGGGAAATAATATATATGTGTAGTAGCTCACAAAAGCATAAAAATTATCTGGGAAGATAAGCAAATGTCTCTCAAACATCTAAAAGCTTCCTTCAGGCTGGGCGCGGTGCCTCACACCTGCAATCCTAGCACTTTGGGAGACCGAGGCAGATCACGAGGTCAGGAGATTGAGACCATCCTGGCTAACATGGTGAAACCCTGTTTCTACTAAAAATACAAAAAGTTAGCCAGGTGTGGTGGCACGCACCTGTAGGCCCAGCTACTCGGGAGGATGAGACAGGAGAATCACTTGAACCTGGGGGGCAGAGGTTGCACTGACCCGAGATCGCGCCGTTGCACTCCAGCCTGGGAGACAAGAGCAAGACTTCGTCTAAAAAATAAAATAAAATAAAATAAAATAAGCCGGGTGTGGTGGCATATGCCTGTGGTCCCAGCTACTTGGGAGGCTGAGGTAAGAGAATCACTTGAACCCGGGAAGTTGACGTTGCAGTGAGCCGTGATCTTGCTACTGCACTCCGGGCTGGGTGACAGTGACACCCTGTCTCTAAAAAAAAAAAAAAAAACCTTCTTTCATAAATATGGCTCTTGCCTGTAATCCGAGCACTTTGGGAGGCCAAGGTGGGAGGATCACTTGAGCCCAAGAGTTTGAGACCAGCCGAGGTAACATAAAGAGATCCCATTTCTACTGAAAATTTTAAAGTTATCCAGGCACAGTGGCACATGCCTGTAGTCCCAGCTACTCAGAAGGCTGAGGCAGGAGGATAGCTTGAGCCTGGGAGGCTGAAGCTTCAATGAGCTGTGATGGCACCACTGCACTCCAGCCTGGGTGACAGAGCAAGACCCTGTCTCAAAAAAAGTTAAAAATTAAAAATTAAAGAATTAGAAATACACACACACACACACACACGTGAATTGTAATGGCAATACCATTTTTTCCATGAGGTTGACAAAAATCTGTTTCATTGCTCAGGCTGTTGACAAGGCTGTGGTGAAAATGGCACTCACATACTCATGCTGGCTTCTCCTTGCTCTTGCTTGGACCAGCCATGCTCATTCCTACCTCGCGGTCCTTGCACCTGTTGCTCCCTCTGCCTGGAACACCCTTTGCCAAAATAACCATGAGGCTTGCTCCTTTCAGCCAACCTAGGACCAAACTCATTGTCCCCTCTTCAGCAAGGTCTCACTGAACGCCTCCTCACCCATCACCTCCCCACACCACTCTCACATCGCTCATTTTCTTCATTGCACTCATCTTTATGAGGAATTATTTCTCTTTTCTTCTCTTTGTTAGGTCAGAGGTCAGCTAACATTTTCTGAAAAGGACCAGAGAGTCAATAGCTCAGGCTTTGCAGGCCATATGGTCTCTGTTGCAAATCCTCAGCTCTGCACGAGAAAGCCACAAACAATATGTAAATGAAGAAGACACTGTAAATGATATGTAAATAATTTACAGACACTGAAATTGATATGTAAATTATTTAGACACTGAAATTTGAATTTCATATAATTTCCAAGTGTCACAGAATATTATTTCTTTTAATAATATTTTTTCATTTTCTTTTCTTTTTTTGAGACAGATTGGAGTGCAGTGGTGAGATCTCGGCTCCCTGCAAACTCTGATTCCTGAGCTCAAGCGATTCTCCTGCCTCAGCCTCCTGAGTAGCTGAGATTACAGGCACGTACCACCATGCCTGGCTGATTTTTGTAGTTTTAACAGAAACGGGGTTTCACCATGTTGGCCAGGCCAGTCTAGAACTCCTGACCTCAAGTGATCTACCTGCCTCGGCCTCCCAAAGTGCTAGGATTACAGGCATGAGCCACCACACCCAGCCCCTTTTCTTTTTGAGACAGGGTCTCACTCTATCACTCAGGCTAGAGTGCAGTGGTGTGATCATGGCTCACTACAGCCTCAACCTCAATTTCCCGGGCTCAAGAGATCCTCCCACCTCAGTCTCCCAAGTAGCTGGGACTGTAGGCGTGCACTACCACACCCAGCTATTTCTTTTAATATTTTTTGTAGAGATGGGGTCTTGCTGTGTTGCCCAGGCTGGTCTCAAATGATCCTCCTGCCTCAACCTCCCAAAGTACTGCACAGGCATGAGCCACTGTGCTGGGTCCACCTTTTTTCAATCATTTAGAAATATGAAAGCCAGTCTTAGTTCAAGGGCCATACCAAAATAGGCAGCAGGATGGATTTGCCCACTCATGTGTCAGAACATCAACTCCAGGGCACTACTGTTTGCTTGGTTCACTGCTATATCCCCAGCACCTACAATAGTGCCTGGCACCCAGTAGGCTTTCAGTAGATATTTACTGAGTGAATGTGTGAAGTCTTTTTTTGTGTGTGTGAGATGCAGTCTCACTCTGTTGCCTAGGCTGGAGTACAGTGACACGATCTCAGCTCACTGCAACCTTCGCCTCCCGAGTTCAAGTGATTCTCCTGTCTCAGCCTCCCAAGTAGCTGGGACTACAGCGTGCGCCACCACAACCAGTTAATTTTAGTATTTTTTAGTAGAGATGGGGTTTGCCATGGTGGCCAGGCTGGTCTCAAACTCGTGATTTCAGGTGATCCACCGGCCTCAACCTCCCAAAGTGCTGGAATTACAGGTGTGAGTCACTGCTCCTGGCCAAGTGAGTGAAATATTAAGTTGAGTAGCAAGTTACTGAAAGAGTGAAGTGAGTGAACGCATGAGCAGGCACAGTCCCACTCGTAGGGCTTCAGTTTGCTCCAGCCTGGACTCCGGCAGGCTCCCCCAGCAAGACTCAGAGAAAGATCAGAAGGCTGAGTCCAGAGTGGTAGCTCAACATCTTTATTTTTCCTCTTTAGCCCGAGGGTAATCCTGACAAACAGCTTCAGCCAGGAGGAGGCAGAGAGGATTGGGCTGGGCAAAGGCTCCGCCAGGACCTGCCCTCCTCCTCCTCCGCCACCTTCTCCTCCTTCTCCTCCTCCTCCTCCTCCTCCTCCCCCCATGGGGTTGGGGATGGGATTAGGGCCATGATCCAAGCTTGGCATCCCTGGGGAGGAGGGAAGTGGGCCAGTCTGCAGCCTCTGCTGTCCCCCGCCTCTGACAACCATGTTCATGGGAACCAGCCACCTCCACATGCTGGGCAGGAGGGACCCTAGGGAGCGGCCCCGACCCCTCCATGTGCATTCGCACAGGGACCTGGGCCAGCAGGGCCTGATCAGTGTCCAGACAGGCGGCTCTGGCCTGTGGCCCAGTTGGCAAACATAAAGCCTAGACTGACGGCCATGAAGAGGACTCCCAGGACTCCAAAGCACAGGGCCTGCGGGCCAGAGAGACAAGATGGGGCTGGTTGGGACTCCTCACCCAATTGCCTTCTGAGAATATTCCTCAAGTCTTCCACCTCCTTCAGAGAGTGCTTCATCCATTCCTGACCCTCCTCTGTGTGCCCTCTCCTTCCTTACAGCCAGCCCCTTTCTGCGAGTCCTCCTTCCACCTTCCCAGGACCCATAGAGAGTACGTTCCTCCATCCTCCTTCTTGAAGGTGCTTCCAGCTCTCTTCCCAATAGTGCTCCTTCCATCTGTCTGGAGAATGCTCCCTCTATGCCAGCCCCTGTTTGAGTGCTCCCTGTCTTCCTGGACCCTGCTGGTGCTCTGTCTCCTCTGCCCCTTCCTAAGACAATCACCTGCATTCTTCCAGACCATTCTTTCATATGCTCTCCCAGCCCCCTCCTATGCATGTCCCTTTCACCTCCAACCATCCTGGAGTGAGCACTCCCTCCTTGGAGTGCTCCCTCTCTCCCTAGCTCTGCCCTGGAATGCTTACCTGGATCTTGGGCCAGGATAAGAAAGGCTCCACCTCAGAGGGTACAATGCGGAGGTAGAAGATGCTGGGGAGGATGAAGATGAGGCTGGGGGCTGAGGTGGACCCTGGAGGACAAGAAGGAGGGACAGGAGTCAACCTGACTTGGGGACAAGGCCCACATTAGATGGGATATGGGACTGGGGTGAGGTTTACTGACCGATAACTCCAAAGATATCCTGGATGGTCGGCACACAGATGACAAGGACATTGACCAAAACAAGCAGGATCAGAGCTATGGCCACATGTCGCGGCCAGCTGAAGGCCTTGCCTGGGAAAAGCAGCTGCTGCAGGGCCCGGCGGATCTGTGGCCAGAGTAGGGTGGGACAGAAGTCAGGACCCTAGTGCTGCCCCCCTTCCACGTGATCATCTGTCTTTAGCTCCACCCTCTGTCTGAGATCCCTGATTTCCCCTCCCTCTGACTATCCATGGCTTCACCCTGCCTAACCCATCATCTGTGTCTCCATGTTCTGAACGGGCTTCCTGCCTCCATCCTCTGACAATCCACATCTCTTCCTTCTGTCTGAACACCCATCGGCACCCGCACCCACCGTCTGAAATCCTTGCCTCCTCCTCTAGCTGACCATCTTCGCCTCTCCTTCTGTCTGACCATCCACCGGTCCTTCCACCCTGTGTGACCTGCCTCTCTCCACCTGACCTCTACCTCCCTCCTCTGTCTAATTAGTTCCGCCTCCCCATCTCGGAGCCTTGACCCTCCTACATCCCATCACTTCAGCCTCCACCCTTTTTCTGTTCATCCTGGTTTCTACCCTCCAACTGACCCTTCCTGACTCCCTCTTCTTTCTAGCCATCCATCTGTGCCTCCTCCCTCCGACTGACTACCCTGTCCCCTGACCCTCTCTCTCCTGCTATCTATGTCCTTCCCACTTCTGTCTATCGATTTTTGCCATCTCTGTCCATCTGAAAACGCTGCCCTTTTCTATCTGTCCATCCTTGCCTCCTTCATCCATCCATCCACTCCTGTCTCCAGCCTCGACCCACACATCCATGCCTACACCCTATACCCATCCGTCCATGTCCCTCTGAGCCATGGGCCCCACGCACTGGGAACAGCACGACTGGCACAGTGAGGGTCACCGCGAGCAGCACGGCCAGGCGCACACAGAGGATGAGAGGGTCCTTCTGGCTGTACATATGTAGCATCTCCGCCTCCACGTTGCCTGGACCATGAGACAGGGGGTACGGGATGCAGGATGTGGAGACAGCACCAGGACCAATGCCCCAGAAACCCATACATACATGCACAGTGACAAAATCCACATAAGTGAGGCACACCTTCTGTTTGGAAACTGACAGGTCCGTGGTCACAGAAGGAAAGAGCTCAGAGGCTCCCGCCCCAGGCCTTCCCCCTCCCCCCAGCCCTAGCCGCAGCCCCACTCACTGTAGAAGGTGAGGTATCCAAAGGTCGCCGTGAGCCCATACATGCAGAACATGGCTCCAATGGACACGTTGGCCACGGCCTGCATCCTGCGCTTGGAGGGCCTGAGGTGTAGAGGTCGTGGAACTGTCATGCCCAGACCCTGGGACTTGCCCCAGGTCCCTCAAAGCCAGCCTCCGCCCTCCAGAGTCCCCTTCTCCCAGACTGACATTCAGTTGGCACAAATGGGGACACCCGTCTCTGCCTCCCCTGTGACTAGCCAAAACCCCCTCTCTGACCATCCATATCTCCCCACCATGTGACCATCTCCCTCTCCCCTGCATCTGACTGCCACTGCCTCTTCCATCTGACCATCCATGCTGTCCCTCTGTCTGATCATCCACACATCTCCCATCATATCATCCCTGCCTCCGCCTGTCTGTCCGTACCTCCCCATCCCCATACCACCAGCCATGCATATCACCCCCTCCATCTGATCATCTGATCTCTGCTTCCTGACTCTGTCCATCCACATTTGTGCTGGATATTAAAATAGGAGAATACTTAAGCCCCGATCAGCAAACCGTCACTAGCCTGAATCCCCCGAGACCTCCTGACCACCCCAAACCCCTCCCACGGCACAACCTAGCTTCCACCAAGTGACAGTCCCAGGACTGCTGTAGGGAGCGTCAGACATTCCGGTTACCACCCCACTTGCTGGCCCATCATGCAGGCCCACTTGCCTGCCCACTCACCGGCAGAGCTCCGTATAGATGGGCAGCACCTCAGGGTGGCAGACAAAAGCAAAAGCCATAATGGGCACTGTGTAGGACATCTAGGGGAATGCCCGAGTACATGGGATTAGAGCCCACAGGGGTCCATCCCCTTCTTCCCATCCCCCTCCCGCCCTGTAATTGCCCTCCGTATCAGACACACAGAAGCCCCCAGTGTCCAATATCCAGCTCCACTCTGAACAGGATGCACCGTGTGACAGAACCAGAGGGCCTGAGTGTGTTGCAATCTCCTACATGCCTGCACACACACCTGTGAGTCAACTGTGAACATCTGGGCCTCACAGCTGCTGTTGAGCCCTTGGTTGTGGAGTCCCACGGGAGCTTCACTCTCCATTGCTGTTTCATTGCGGCCTATAGCACAGCCAAGCTGGAACTTCTTGTAGATGACCTGAGGATGGGGGCATCGGAGAAGCCAGGTCATGGGGGAGGCTATGTCCCAATGTCCCAAACTCTCTCCCCACTTCTCTGTGACTCACCGAAACCAGGAAAAACAGCATGCAGGTCAGTGAGAGACCACTGGTGTACCCCAGGTAGCCTAAGAGGGGCAAAATACAGAGTCTCAGAAATCAGCCAGGCGTGGTGGCTCACACCTGTAATCCCAGCACTTTGGGAGGCCTAGGCGGGTGGATCACCTGAGGTCAGGAGTTCGAGACCAGCCTGGCCAACATGGCAAAGCCCCATCTCTACTAAAAATACAAAAATTAGCCAGGTGTGGTGGCACGCACCTGTAGTCCCAGCTACTCGGGAGGCTGAGGCAGGAGAATCGCTTGAACCCGGGAGGCAGAGGTTGCAGTGAGCCGAGACCACGCCATTGCACCACTCCAGCCTGGGTGACAGAGCGAGACTCAGTCTCAAAAAAAAAAAAAAATCAATGGAACCCGTACAGTGAACTCCCAAACACCCAGTCTGGCCTCAAGGTCTGCCCACCCCAGTTGCCTTTGCATAAGCTTCTACTTCCACCCAAAAACCTCCCCTCCATAGCAAACTCTGCTAATCTGTTCAAAGCCACATCAAATAAGCTCTCCTGGTGTTCTGCAGCCCTTGAAAATGAATAGGGGTTTTCTCAGTCTGGCTTCTTCTGTCTAACCGTACTACCCAATGGCCAACCCAGGAGCCTCTTACCCAAGTGGTTTCATGAGGGCCAGGGCCAGGATGATTAACACACTGACGATGATGATGAGGAGGTTTCCCTTCAAGAACCAGTCCCTAAGAGAGACAGGAAGACACAGTGCCTAGCCGCCAGTCAAAGGAAACTGTCAGGCCGACACTCAAAGAAGACATTGAACAGGGCAGCTTTCTGCCCTAAGTCAGGAGAGTTAAGCTGACAGCCTCAGCTATGAGAAGTCATTTCAGGTGGTTACAGTGACAAACGGCACAACAGGGTTGACAAAAATAGTCAGGCTGATTATGAGATTGTCAGATACTGTTTGGTGGGACACAGCTAACACATACACAGCTGAACAAAACTTGCCATCAGATTTCGCAAGTGATGCACAACCAGATGGTCAAACACCCACAATCAGTCCAGACTTAATGTAAAATTCAGTCAGGCCAGTGCAGGGCTCATGCCTGTAATCCCAGCACTTTGGGGCTGAGGCAGACGGACACCTGAGGTCAGGAGTTCGCGACCGCCCTGGCCAACATGGTGAAACCCCTGTCCTCTACTAAAAATACAAAAAAAATTAGCCGGGTGGTTGTGAGAGCACCTGTAGTCCGCACTACTCGGGAAGTTGAGGCAGAGAAATGGCATGAACCTGGGAGGCGGAGCTTGCAGTGAGCTGAGATCGCGACACCTGCACTCCAGCCTGATGACAGAGTGCGAGACTCCATCTCAAAATAAATAAATAAATAGCCGGGTAATGGTGGCACATGCCTGTAATCCCAACTACTCAAGAGGCTGAAGCAGGAGATTCACTTGAACCCAGAAGGCAGAAGTTGCAGTGAGCCAAGGTTGCGACATTGCACTCCAGCCTGGGTGACAGATCAAGATCCTGAAGAAAAAAAAAAAAAAGAAGCAAAGAAAGAAAGAAAAGAAGGAAGGAAGGAGAAGGAGGAAGGAAGGAAGAAGGAAGGAAGGAAGGAAGGAAAAGGGAGGGAAGGGAGGGAGGGGAGGGAGAGAAGAGAGAGAGAGAAAGAAAAAGAAAGAAAGAAAAGAAGAAAGAAAGAAAGAAGAAAGAAAAGAAAAAGAAAGAAGAAAGAAAGAAAGAAAGAAAAGAAAGAAAAGGAAAAGAAAGAAAAGAAAAGAAAAGAAAAAGAAAAGAAAAGAAAGAAAGAGGAAAGGAGGGAGGGAGGGAAGGAAGAAAGGAAAGAAAGAAAGAGAAAATCAGTCCAACACAAGGTGCCACGACACAAAGAGAGTGAGTCACGATCGTGGGTATGTCTGACAGGTCTGATGATCCATCAACAGTCTGATGATCCAGTAGACAAGCCATGATGCAGAGTCCATCAAAAAGTCAGAAACACACAAGCATGCTTGTTTGAACAGCTCAAGGTTTGTTGGATGCCTAAAAGTATGCTGTGGACGGACTTGGCCGCACAGTCAAAGAAAGACTGAAAAGAAACGAAATCATCCAGCTGGCCACACTGTTGGAACCAAGCTCTGAGAAAGGGTGGGATCTGTACAGATATTGGAGGAAGGTGACCAGGCAAGACAGTCAGTTAAGACAGAATCAGCTGAACAACTGCTCATCATTCAAAACAACTTGATTGAATGCCTGTGTTCTAGACATTCACACTCTCTTTCTATCTCATACACAGTTACACAGAAATAAACAATGGGAGCTAACTATAATAATGAGACATCTCTGGTCAACAGTCAGCTATCTAGTATTCTCAGAATCAAACAAAAATCTAAAATGATACACACAGAGAGTAAAAATCAAGCACTCGGTTAAATTGTCAGACTGGCCATGTGTGTGTGGCTCACGCCAGTAATCCCAGACTTTGGGAGGCCAAGGCGAGCGGATCACCTGAGGTCAGGAGTTCAAGACCAGCCTGGCCAACATGGTGAAACCCCATCTCTACTAAAAATACAAAAATTAGCCGGGCATGGGGGGAATGAGGCAGAAGGATCAACTTGAACCTGGGAGACGGAGGTTGCAGTGAGCCCGAGATGGCACCACTGCACTCCAGCCTGGGCAACAGAGTAAGACTTTGTCTCAAAAAAATAAATTAAAAAATTAGCCAAGCATGATGGTGCATGCCTGTAATCCCACTTACTCAGGAGGCTGAGGAAGGAGAATCGCTTGAACCTGGGAGGCAGAGGTTATGGTGAGCTGAGATCATGCCACTGCACTCCAGCCTGAGCGACAGAGTGAGACTCCATCCAAAAAAAAAAAAAAAAAAAGTCATACAGACCAGAGTCAGACTGACAAAACCAGAGACATCTACACACCATGCAAAGCCCATGGGACCAGAGGCAGAGTTAGCCACTGGACACACAGAGCTGTTCATGAAACACACAGAGGCAGCTCCACATGTGCAGCTGGAGCACAAGCACTGCAACACCCTGTACATACACACTAGCCCTGCTGGAGTCCCATCGTGCACATGCCCCCCACACATACCAAGCCATCACAGCGGATCCAGACTCACACACAGGCAGCCAGATGCATAATCAGAACAGTCCAGCATATATGGTTGCAACCATAATACAGAGGACACATAGTCACAGTCAGGGATCTCACACACACACACACACACACACACACACACACACCAGAGAGAATTTACCAGAACAGCCACCAAATCAAACACAGAGATGGAGTTGGCTCGACACATACAGTCAGAGTGAGTCATACATAGTTGGTACCACAGCGTACTACATGCACACAGACACACTGCTGGAGTCAGCGATCATACGCTCACAGCTAGACAGATTCAGCCAGATGAACCTAGAATCAAGCTCAAACAATCAGCTGGACAGGGGAAGTCAGAGTGATCGAAGGTCAGACACATATGGTTGGAATCACAGTATACGGGACACAGCTGTAGTCAATCACAAAGCCAGACCAAGAGAATCAGCCAGGCCGGCAGACAGGGTCAAACCCACAGGCAGAGTCTGAGTCCATTGGCTATGTACATTCACACACACATGGTCAGCAGCAGAGTAAACCGGACGTAAAGAGTCAGCCTCCAGCCAGAAGCAGCCAGAATAAGTCACAAAATCAGCACACGGTCGACTGGACTCCTGTGGTCAAAGCAACAGTCACGCAGAGGAATCATGCTGACCCAAGTGACCTGCCCAGCAGTCTCAAACTGGAACACCTGGAAGTCAGCTGCACAAACAGCGCTGAAGATACCGACCGGGCCTCGCAGGCAGAGTCAAGGAGCTGCTGGCCAGCCAAGGGGTGTTGCTCACTCACCCCTCGGGGTCCATGTACAGGAAGGTGCCGATAACCAGGGGGAGCTCAGATTTGATGATGAACAGGTAACTGGACATGGCTGGTGCGGGTGGGGGAGGTGTAAGCAGAAAGATTCTCTTCATGCCCCCACCCTGTCTTCCCCAGCCCAGCCTGGGGAAGCCCACCTCACTCCGCCCTCTCCCCCCAAGCTGACCCCCACCTCCCAGAGTCCTCACCCCCAACATTGTGCAGACAGATGACTGCGGCCACCACTACCTTCCCCGCAGGCCCGAATGCCCTCTGTCCCAGCTGCTCATAGGCTCGGATGCCTAGCGGGGGAAGGCAGGAACAGGGTTGAAGGTCCAAGAGGCCAGGCCAGGGGTGCAGGCCAGAGGGCCCGGGAGCTGGGAAGTTGGAGCTTGGGGGAACAGGCTTTGACTGATGGAGGCTGAAGGTGGGGGTTAAGCAGGTGGGGTTGAGTTTGGGGGCAGAGTCTGGGAGGTGGGATCTGAGGCCAGGGAAAAGGATGAGGGCTGGAGGTGAGAGTAGGGGTCTTGGAGCCAGACTATAGACTGAGACCATGGTGGGAGCTGGGGAACTGGGGACTGAGGGGTGGGGGTTAGAGGTAGAGTGTAGTGGTCTGGAGGTGGATTCTGGGGTGCTGGGTCTGGGATCTGGGGTCTGCATTCAGGGAGTTGGGTCTGAGGTTTGGGGTTCAAGGTCTACGTTGAGCTCTGGATGTGGGTCCAGAGTCTGGGGTCCAAAGGGGTGGAGTGGGGACTGGGATCCAGGCTCTGGGTCTCACCTACAATACCAGCACAGGTCAGCAGGAGGTGGATGGAGTAGGACGACAGAAGCGCAATGCACAGCAACAGGGCCCTGCGGCAGGTGGCACAGCTCAGACCTGGTCCCGGGCCTCCCACCTGCCCTGCAACACCCCTGGCCCCGAAGGCCACCTATGGACTCACAGGAAGAAGATGACTCCTGTGTGGGCCATGGCATAGGCCAGCCCCAGGATGCCGCTGCCCATGATGGCATTGCTGAGGTTGAACACTGACATTCCAAATGATGTCTTCCCCTCGAACTGCATGCAAGGAGCAAAGCCCGGGCACACATTGGGAGGGGGCACTGGGTAAGGAGACTAATGCCAGGGCCAGGGAAAGACTGGAGAAGAAGCAAGCGGGGTGGAGAGAAGCCAAGGAGGGACCATCGGAGGAGGGAAGAGGCTAGCAGGGAAGAAGAGTTGAAGACGGAAGAAGCTGCAAAGGGGAGAGCTAGGAAGGGGGAAACTAGAAGGACAAATTTTGGAGGGAGCAGCTGGAAGTGGAGAGGACCAGGGGAGGGTGAAGCAGCCACCAGAGGTAAAACAGCTGGGGAGGGGAGACACTGCGGGTGGGGATCGGCTGAGGATGGGGAGTGCTGGAGGAGGAAGAACAGCTGGAGGAGAAAGGCAGGTCGGGAGGGGAGCAGATAGGGAGGGCAGCCACTGGGCCAAAGCGTGGGTGGGGAGAAGCAAGGCCAGGGAGAGAGCTGGAAAGGGCATATCTGGGGAAGAGGAGTATCTGGAGAGGGGAGCGACCGAGGAGTGCGTAGCTGTGGTGGGGAGATAGCTGGGCAGGGGAACAGCAGGGAGGAGGAGGAGTGGGGAAGAGGGAGCAGTGCGGGAGGAGATTAGCTGGGGAATGTGCCACCGGGACAGATCCTGTGGGGCCACTCACATCCATGAACTGGACCGGCTTGCTCCCAGGAGCAGGACCACGACTGGGCAGGAAGCCCTCACGTTCCTGCCTGTAGCTGGATAGGGCAGGGAAATAGGGGCCAATAAGAGGGTAACCCTGACCCCTAATCCCTGAGCCCACCTCCTTGGACCCCTGACTCACTCCACAGCATCCGAAGGGAGGGCTCCATTCATCTTTGCATCCTGCAGTTCCATCCTGTGGGCAGAGAAATGGGGTGGGGGGATCAGAGACAGAACGAGGGTGCTTCAAAGTGAGGGGAGCTGAAGAAGGGGGAGGGGAGTCCCATAGAGACCGACAGAAAGACGGAGAAAGAGAGGAGACAGGGGAGCAGGAACAGACAGGGACAGAAATGGAGGCAGGCTGACAGAGAAAGAGATGAGAGAGAGAGAAGAAAAAGAATCAGAGGAGAGAAGCCAACAGTTAGTTAGTTACTCAGAGAGACACAGAGAAAGAGCCAGTGAGAGAGAAATAGTTGGGGAGAGAGAGAAAGAAAGCAACAGAGACAGCCGGACCCCAGCGCAGATGAGCCGACCACGTGGAGAAGGGATAGCCTCTCCTCCCAGACCCCAGACTCACGCTGTCTCTCTTGCCATCTGTGTCTTTCATTCCCCGGTCCCCCGCGCCCCCCCCTCCCTCCACCCTCACTGCGTGGCCAGGCGACTCACTCCTTGCAGGGACACGTGTCGGCCTGGCTGCCCCACCCCTCCTAATGCCCTCACCCCCCTCCTTCCCGCCTGGGCCCCCAAGCCCGAGCCCAGAGCTGATGCAACCTGTTGAGTGAGCTGAGGGTGGGGGACAGACTCGGAGACCCCTGCCCCAGACGCTGCAGACTCTGAATATCTTCACTAGAAGCCAAAGACAAGTCCCCGAACTGAGCCCCTTCCCAGGGACAGAAATGACCCAGGGACTCCCATTTAACCCTGATTCTAGGGCCTAGAGGTATTTTCCAGAACCCCTAGCAAGTCTTAAACACTGGTCTTCTGACAGAAGTCAATTTGGAGACACTTCCAGACTTGAGAAACTTCCTGGGTGTGGGGTGTGGGGTGTCTCAGGAACCTGGCCCGAGCCCTCATTTCCCCTCCGGAGGAAAAGCAGTCTCTGAGACCATTAAAGACCCCCTCCTGTGGCCTAATGAGTTTCCTGGGGTGGGGGTGTCTCTGCAATTCCCACCCGAGCCTGGAGTCCCTGTCTTGTGGGTAGAGCGTCTCTGAAGAAACCCCAGCCCCCTCCCGCGCTTACTCCTTGGGAAGGAGGTATCTCAGAAATCCCCATTCAAGGTCCCCATTAGAGCTCAAACTGGCTCAGGAAATCCTTTTCCCAAGTCCTGAATCCTGTTCCTGGGACACGGAGGGGTCTCAAGGAGTCCCATCCCCCGCCACCAGCGCCCTCCGGAGCCTCCCACCCACACCTGAATTCACTTCCTGGGATCAAGGTACCAAAAGGACCCCCCCACAGTCACGCCATTCCATTCTCCACTAGTGCTAAAATGTCTCCAAGGAACCCCAAGCCCCTTCCCAGGACCCCTACTCATATCTCAGGCCCCCAGGAACACCATCCCCGCAGCCCACGCTTCCTCCTCACCTACCTGCTCCTCTCAGCTCCTGAAGTGGCCGCAACTCAGACTCCTGCTCTGGGCGGTACTTTTTTTTTTTTTCTGAGAAGAAATGTTAATTTTAATTTCGTTTCCCTCCTTCTGGCCCTGGGCGGGGGAAGAGGTGGAGAAGGGGCGCCCCCTATCTGGACCCACTTGGAGGGAGACAGAGGTTTGTTTGTGTGTTGGTGGGGGGGGAATGGCCTGAAAGATTGCGGGTGTAGACCCACAGCTAGAGAGAGTGACAGGCAGACAGAGGGGATGGACTCACAGAGCAGACGGACAGCAAGATGAGATGGATGGCAGAAAAAGGTGCAGAGAGGAGACAGAGAGTAGGAGAAACGAAGTTACAAAGAAAGCAGCCATGAGAAACAGCACAGGAACAGACAGACCACAGAAGGAACAGAAAGACAGATGGGTGGGAGGAGGGGATGCTAGGGGATCTTGGTAGACAGGCAGAGACAGAGAGAAAGGGACGCACAGGCACACTCAGAAACAGACAGGTGGGTAGGGATAGGCTCGTGGAAACACCTGCAGAAAGGCAACAGGCAGTCGAGCTCAGTCATAGACAGGAGACACAGACTGGCAAAGAGGTCGGGGACAGAGCCAGACAGCTCCCCAAACAGGGTAGGACCAGACACACCAGCTCAGGGAGACGAAGGGACAGAGGGAGTGGTTGAGGCAGAGAAGAAAAGAGGCAGAGAGAGGCAGATTCAGGCAGAGAGGCCTGGAGACAGCAGCAGAACAGGTGCAGGGATAGTAGCCAGGCTATTCCAGGCAGACCTCAGGCAGACAGCCTAGTCACGAGAGGACCCTAGATCTTGGAGGCCCCCAGAGGGAGGCAGGGAGGGCATTTGTGGCTGGGTGGGGAATGTGGACTGTGAACTCACACTGTCTGCAAACTGGGCGGGCACTGTAGTCCTGGACCCCACCCCAAGCGTGGGGTGGGGCTTGTCCAAGCCCTGAGAAGTCCCACTATCTGTCTGTCCGTCTGTCTTCTATGGGAGTCCGTCTGTTCATTCCCCTCCAGGCATATGACAGGCATGCCTGTCCCAGGCAAGGCACATGTCTGCTACAGGATGTCAGGCAGGGTGGACTTGGGGTCTGGGCCCACCTCGACTGGGCTGCTTGAAGCCCAGGTGGACAAGAGGCCTCTGTCTGGGCCCCTTGCCCACCTGCCCACCCCCGACAGGGAACACAGAATTCCCGGAAAGGCCAGGAGCTGGCTGGGGCTTCAAAGCTGGCCTAGATGCCCTCACCCCACCCGCAGTTGGAGGAGGACAAGGGATGGGGCGTTTACTTCCCCACAGCAGGAGAGAGACTCCTGCGCACTCAGGGATCACAGCTACACAACAGGCCCCATCACAGCCCCATCAAGGGGCTCAGATACAGGGGCCAACTCACCATCACTCACAGAAGTGCACAAAGACTCACAGCCACACAAGAGAATAAAGACTGACAGACATGAACACATACAGACTCACCACTTCACATTAAGAGCACAGGCTCATGGGACAGTCACACACGTGGCCACACGGAGTGACGACAGTCTTACAACTCTCAATACCCACAGGCTCAGAGCCGCTCACAGAGAGCACAGACTAACACAAATTGGCTTATGCCAATTTCCAGACACTCTAGACTCCTGAACATCATCGCCGCTGGACCCACAGCCATGCCAAAGACAATCAACAGGTAAATCACACACACAGATTCATAGCCGCACACAGAGCACACAGACGATTACACACAGCTGATGACATCGTTCATGGGTCCTGGGTCTTTCCCACCCACACGATCCAGTTTCAGATGGCCCTGGATCTGAACCTGAATCCAGGTTCAGATGACCCTGGAGACAAACTTCCAGGTCCAAGCCCTAAAATCATATCTCTGTGTATGTGAACTTGAATGTGCACTTATGACCACATGTAACCACATACAGCTCCAGTCACAGACAGAAGCACTCATAGGCTGACATGAATTTTGTACAAACAGAAAAGCTGTAGTCTCTTTCTCTCTCTCTCTCTCTCTCTCTCTCTCACACACACACACACACACACACACACACAACAGCATTTCAGCAAATGGCTGCACACAGCCGTGTACACACACAGCTAGTCACAAATCAAGTCAGAAAAGAAACATACAGGGAAAGTATATACTAGCACACCAACACAAAGCACAGGAATGCAGAGTACACTTACTATCGTTGCAAAGAAAAAATCCAGAAACTACATGGAAAGCTACACAAGGAAGAAACAGGAGAACCAGATAGTACTCATACCACGGCACCAGAAGAAACACCCTGAGGGCACACATACCTGCAGCCACTCATTAAGGAGAGACACAAATACAGCAGCAGACACACAAAGAAAGACACGTGCGCACAGATACACACATAGGAGGGACAAGTACTCTGATGACACACTCGTCACCCATGACTATTACAAAGGAGACAAACACCCAAGCAACACACGCACACAACAACATATAGATGAACTGCGCGGACAGACAGTACCAATGCACACGGTTGCCAAAAAAAAAAAAAAAAAAAAGCATGAGTTGGGCCGGGCGCAGTGGCTCATGACTGTAATCCCAGCACTTTGGGAGGCCAAGGCAGGTGAATCACGAGGTCAAGAGTTCGAGATCAGCCTGGCCAACGTGGTGAAACACCGTCTCTACTAAAAATACAAAAAGAAATTAGCTGGGCGTGGTGGCGGGCGCCTGTAATCCCAGCTACTCGGGAGGCTGAGGCAAGAGAATTGCTTGAACCTGGAAGTCGGAGGTTGCAGTGAGCTGAGATCTCGCCACTGCACTCCGGCCCAGGTGACAGAGTGAGACTCCATCTCAAAAAAAAAAAAAAAAAAAAGCACAGGTTGGGCAGGCGACTGTAGACAGAACACAGCACCAGACAAGTTACATAGGAAGACGCAGGCACAGCTCACATATATGTGGCTGTGGCTGAGAACAGGCAGGTGAAATACACTTAGCATATTCACACACACACGTGCACACACACATACACACACTTCTGCCCAGCCTCCTCCAGCCTCTGTCTCCTTTCCTATCTACTCTGATTTCTCTCTCCCCTCATACCCCTCCCCCACCCAGAGCCATTACACATCTGTGCTACCGGCTGGCCAGGGAAAGAGACACCTGTCACCAGAGGCTGTGACCCAGGTGGCTAAAGGTGGGGGGCGGGGATGCAGGTATCCATATTTCAAGTCTGAAGTGTCCCGTCCAAATAACTAGCATACCTTATTTGGACTTAAAAAATAAAAGACAACCCCCCTCCCCTCTGCATCCATTTGCCACCTCCCTGCCACAGCCTCCTGCTCTGATTGCTCCCCTTCCCTCCCAGGGCCTGCCCCCACTGGCCTTCCAACATGGACCAACACAGGGCTACCAGGCACACAGCAGGTGCTCAACAAAGGCCACTTATCTAATGTCGTATTATTATCATTACTTTTATTTCTGCCAAAGGAATTCTTCTAGGGGAGAGATGAACCTCCATCCAGCTCTAAGAACCCCACAGCTCCCATAAGTTTCAGGGCACTGCAGATAGCAGGTGCTCAACATAAGCCGGTATGGCAGTGGGAAAACAAAGGGAAAGTGTGATCTGGCTGCGTAGAGGAACCTGCTTTAGAAGGAACAGATGTCTTTAAGCAGGACCCAGGCCTTGAGGCTGTGCCAGGGATAAGAAAACTTTATTAGTTCATCAAAGTAGGGCTCCTTCTCAGGGTCATTTAAGGTTTGTGTTGGTTCAGTAAAGCAGACCCTTGTGTGACACATGGGAGTCCCGTGAAATCTGTTAAAAGTCACTTTGGGTTATCGTCAGTTCTAAGGAGACCTTTGATTAAAACAGCTCACTGCCCGGTAGCATCCAGGGGAGGGAGGGACACAGTGAAGCAGTTAACAGCAAAAGCTTTCTCAGTTCTGCCACTTATTAGCTGTGTGGCTAAACAAGCAAATTCCTAAACCTCACTGAGTCTCAGCTTCCTCAAGGGCCTAATAACGCCTAACTCATTGGGCTATTGAGACAATTAATTAACACAGGCAAAGCACTTAAGACAATGCTTTACACATAGTAATTGCTCAA